TTTTTTTTTTCACGTATAAAACATGCTTTTTATCGCTCTTATCCCTAGGGGCATATGACAAAAAATTCAGTCGAATGAATATCTAAATGTTTACTCAAATATCGGAATTTGACACGAATATTGCATATGTTCTGAATATTTTTACAAATGCTGTGAATGTAATGAATATTCTTACAAAGAAAAAAAAATAAAATCAAATTTCTGTGTAAGTGTACAGAGAATATTCAGAGAATATTCATAACATTCACAGCATTTGTAAAAATATTCAGAACATATGCAATATTCGTACACTGTACAGAAATTCACATTTTTTACTGAACACTGAACAATGGCTATTTTAAGCTGCTGTTGTTGTTTTTTTTTTGCAGTTGTGATTTCAAAAATGCAGTTATGAATTTCAGAAAATGCAGTTGTGATTATTCATTGAAACGGCAATTTTAGTTATATTTTAACCTTTCATTTTTTATTTCTGACACTTTATACTGCTCAATGTAGTACTAGTGTTCCGAATGTGCAATAAAGGAAGTTCTACTACAGTTCATTAGATTTCGACGAAAAACCTCACGAATGTAAATGAATGTGTGTAAATGTTTTAAATTTAACGTAAATTCGTGCGAATGCAATATTTATTCATTAAATGTTTATTGGATTTTAGATATTTCATAAATAAAACGTAATTTTCAAATTTTTTCGAATGGTCATAAGCCCCTAGTCTTATCCCTACTGACTCTTTTCTTTTTTATTGTCGGTTGCTTGTTCGGAGAGAGAGCGGATAGAATTAAAGGCTGTTATCTATTATTCATCGATTAAAAAAAGCAAATGTAGTTAAAAAGAATTTGTATCAACTGCCTTCAACATTAGATTTGAAATATATATATTATTCGTAATTAATTTAATAATTAAATAAATAAGTTTTGAGATGAAAGAAAGGTTTGATTCCGCGCGCTACGCGCGCGGAAACCCAGGCAGGGTATATCCCAGACAAAATAATACTGGTGGAGCCGAAATCGCGTGTTCAGAAATCAGTGTTTTTGGATCTAGAAGTAGAATAAAAATTAAATAAATAAGAAATTTCGGAAATTTCAGTATCTATAGAAAATTAAACTTTTTACGACTTGCCGTGGAATTGTTTTCGAATAAAATGTAGAGTTTGTTATTTAACCAATCCACTGACAATTCCAGCGGAATTTGACCATTATCATCAGTTGGATAAATACGCACTTTAGATTGTACTGATGAATTGCTCAGAGAAGCTCTGGAAAAGACCAACAATTTTATATTATCACAAACTTACTTCCTTGTCCATTTTTTTGAATTTGTAATGTTTTCATACTTACTTAAAAATTGAGCTTGTTTCATCGATGATAAAGAGTAATTTCTTTGCGACATCAATGCCAACTCCGGTGATAAGTTTGCTACTATTATAAACGAAATTAGGCGCCTCTTCGAGCGCCTTAAGTTGATTTTTTGCTACTCGTTGAAAAATATTTTATCGTTGCATCGGCTCTAACGGAGGCACTGATCAAAGAATATTTTTTTTAAATTATATAGT